AGGGAAAGAAAAGCGAGGGCAGCCTTGGTGTGATTGTCAACTATTTTTTTCCATTTTTGTGTGAGTAGCAGCAGGCCGTGGCCATGTGTGGATAACCAACCTTACCTGCTGAGTATAATCCCCTTAGACAGTGTAATTGCATTTCCAGGTTCACATGTCTCACACACTTTATAGCTCTGGGCAATGCTATGTTATGTGATAGCACAGGTTATGAAGGTTAAATTTGGACTAATGAAGTTTTGTTGAAATAAACTTGAGTCATCCAGTGCTGACAAGAAATTTAATATAAAATGGCATTCTTGGGCAGGAGGAAAATCAGGGCTCTACCAACCTGAAAGAGAAACCATTTTCATTGCTATGAAACTATTTCTCTGCTGGCAGTGCTTGACCAAGATAGCAGGAGTATGTGAGGAGCAGGGCACAGACCCTGGCAGCTTCCAAACTCACAGGCTGCTCTGAAAGCCAGCTGTATCAAAGGCACTGCACAAATAACAGGTGAGATTAGCAGAGATGGGCATTTCTCTTCACCTCAGCAATTTCACTAAATGTCATTAGGCTTTGTCCCCTTAATAGCATTTGACACACCTTGATATTCTCCTACATGGAGTGAATGAAAAATTAATGATTCCTTGCTTATGTAAACACACTTCATGTTAAAACCAAATATCAGAGCATGGAACAATGAGGTTTTAATATAAGTTGTTCCTGAAAAGTACTCTTAAAATTGATGAGAAATAATAAAGTTGATGAATAATTAAAACTTGCTGAAGGCCACCCTCCTACGAATTTCGGCCTCCACAGAAGTGGGTCCTCCTATGCTGCTAACCAGGCATTAAATGCTTTATTCAAGCCATGTGTTTTGCCAGCAGAAATTCAGTTTTATCTAGCTGCAAATTGAACGTAGGCAATTTCAATTTGAAGTAATCTTGTGGGGAAGAGAAGTCAAACAAAAATGCTGAAAGCTAAGGAAATTGATTTGGTTTTCATTTCTGGCAATCACTTTAATACTGTATTTGCATAATACTGTATTTATTTAATGATGAAATAATTTTTCAATTAATTTTCTATTTAATTTTTTGATTGCATAATATATTCACATCGTATGATTGAAATTTAAATTTTCATCCATTCATAGTAATGCTTTATACCTCTTCTGTAATAAATTTCTACTGTGAAATGTATTTTTTGTGTTCAGTAAATAAGTTCGTAAAGATAAATAAAAGTAGGAATTTATTTCAGAACTTTCTTTTCTAAAAATTCTCTTTCTTAAGAGATTGAATTAGTCAAGAGACCAGAAAAGGCAAGAACCACAGCTCCTGTGCAGAGATTTCCTCCTGTGTGTTTCAAATTGCCACATTATTGTCAGAGGCAGTGAAGTGTCCAACTTTTGCAATAAACAGACAGCTCTTTTATTAATTCAATATCACATCTCTGTGACACTGAGATTAAATTTTGCTGCCAGTGAAGACCAATGTTACGGTTATTGTGAATGATTCAGACTCAAAATATCCCTCCCTGCATGCTCTAATATGCACATGTACATGTTTTATTAGTTGGCACTCACTTCTGTGATTAAAGAAATTAATTATTGGAATCATGAGTCATCCCTCAGAACAATGTGAATGCCCTTTCTTACTTAAGGATCCCACTGCTGGATTCATTTCCCCAAATGTGTGATTGTTAGAATCAGGCAGGCAGCCTGTGCCTCCATGGCTCCTCACAGAGAGGCATTTGGTGACTGCAATTCACCCATCTCACTGAAATCCAGGTTTCCCACCTTTTCAAAGCATCCTAGGCTCTCCAGGATGTGCTGCACACCAGAGGAGGACGCTGGTGTTTGGAGCTCTTTAAACAGAAGTAAGATTAGAGAAAATGAAATCTGATTTCAGAATTAAATAGCATTGTAAGAGCTAAAAAGATAACCATGAAAATGCAAGTCACTTGCTCAGCATTTTAGTTCCTTAGACCCTTCTAAGGAACCTATCAAGCCTAAAGTATATTGAAGACCCCTGGAGGCCAGGCTGATATGTTATCTTTGCACTACCCAGCATCCATGCTTCTCCTGGACAGTCACCACACAGAAACACAAGCAGATGAGAATTGAGCTTTCATGAAAATCTAGTTGATGATGATCGTTTTTTAGCTGAGGAAGTAGTTTGCAGTATTGTAAATTCGGAACAATTCTGGAGGTTTCATGTGGCATGAGCTGGTTTCATAATTTTATTTATGATGGGATTTAAAGAATTATATTTTCTTTTGGAATGACATAAGAATGAATTCTCTGATAACCAATCAATGCTAAAATTGCCCCACAGAGTATCTATGTTAATTCTATCACCACAATATAATCTATGCTTTGAATTTGCAGCTGTGTACAATTCACAAGCAAATGGGAAGCAGTCCCTTGGGCATTTGGGGCAGTTTACATACATAAACTATCACAAGCTAATTAACCATGTATGTTTTTTCTGCCTGGGAATGTTTCTATCTTGCATGACTTGCAAACACACTGCTGTTTCTGTGCATGAGGTGCATTTACTCACTGGTAGCTGAGTACAGTTTCAGTGTCACACCAGGTCGGTAGGAAGGTGGCAGAGACAGCACTGTGGAGGGCAAATCTGGGGGAGGGAAAAGAACAGAACTTGCTTTGGCATCTTAAAACAAAAAGGCAGGTTGATTGAAGGAGCAGCAAAAAGGAATAAAAAATCCAACCCCAAACTCACAGTTCATTAGTAAACAGTTACATGGACAGTGATATATAAACACATTATCAGTCATCTATTTCTATTTATTACTTTCTATTTCATAAATAGAGTGTTTATGAAAATACACTTTGCTGCTATTTCAGATCATTCTTACCAGGCTCTGTTTGCATCACTTTGCTGGCTTCCTGTGGAGACACTGTCTGCATCCAAAGCATGGACGTGTCAGCTGTGGGAACAGAGACACACCCTTCCTTTTATTCATTATTTCTCTGTCTACTGAGAAGAACTGCTAGGTATGAGACAGCTCAACAGCCAGAGTCCCTCACCTAGTACTGCCAGTGACATACAAAAATGCCAGGATGAAATAGGAATGACAAAAGCTGTCCTTGACTAGAACTTGAATAGCCTGTGGTCTAGGGAAGGGCAGGGCTTCAAAAAGGCATCAAGAAGGCAAAAGAAGCATTTCTACATTGCTTTTTCACAGGTCTGCTCACCAAATTTGGAGCTAAATGTGAGGGAAGATCCAAGAGGCAGAGTGGGTGTCCCTGAAGGGCTCTCCAAGCTCCACTCAGAGATACTTTGCCAAGCCCCAGGGCAGTTCCAGGGCTCCTGGCCATACTCACTGAGGCTGGGCTGCAGGGCTGGTGATAGGGCCAGGCTCCCCCCAGGGCTCAGGGCGGGTCTGGCCATGCCCTGGGGCCTGGGAGCATCCACGTGGGGTGATGGAAACCCTGAGCCTTTGGCTCCAGCTGTCCTTGGCCACAGCGGGAACCTCGTGGTGGGGACGGTGGGAATTTCTGCTCCTTTCTGGGCGAGCGGGGTCCTGGTAGCTGGAGAAGAGAGAGCGACAGAGAAAGGGCACCTCTAGCTATGATATTTTCTAAAAAATCCTTTCCTTAAGATTTTTCTCTTGAGAAGCTGAGAGGCCTCAGGAACAAAATGTAAACAATGGTTATCTGCTGCTGTGGAATGCAACAGGTGGATCTGTGATTGGTATCATAGAGTTGTTTCTAATTGGCCAATTACAGTGAGCTGGCTCAGACTCTCTGTCCAAGTCACAAGCCTTTGTTATTCTTTCTTTCTTTTTCTATTCTTAGCTAGCCTTCTGATGAAGTCCTTTCTTCTATCCTTTTAGTATAGTTTTAATATAATATATATCATAAAACAATAAATCAAGCCTTCTGAAACATGGAGTCAGATCCTCGTCTCTTCCCTCATCCTCAGACCCCTGTGAACACCATCACAGGCACCAGCAACTCCAACACACTGGGGAAGAATAATATTTAAAATACACCCAGAAAATCCCATCTACCTCTTGAGTGCTTCTCTGGCACTTGAGCAGGCACTTCTCCATTTCGTTTTAAATATGGAAACACAGGGAGTTCCAATAATGTTTGAAATTTTAATTGAGAACATTTTAATGTGTGACTTTTCATAAACAAAGAAAGAAACTGAAATTTTCCTGCAGGGCTTTGGTTTTTTCTTGAAATAATTTGTGCTTAATTTCCTGAACTGCTTCACTACAGTAGAAAGAGAGAAAGGTCCTGTCTGTTTGAAGGTGAGCAGGCAGGTACCGGAGGGCAGATGCTGCAGATTGAGAACTGACACTCGTGGCTATGAGATAACAAAGGTGGGCATGTGGTTTAGGATATTAAAAATATTTATAAAGGACAGCAGACTGCCTACAGGAAATGCAGGCATTTTGTAGGAGAGGGATGCAGCTGCAGTGACAAGGAGGTATGAAGTCAAGGTCGGAATTTCTATTGGTTTCTACTACAAGTTAGCAGGTGCAAAGCCTTGATTTTTGGCTTCCAAAATGGGGCAGAGCAGCACTTTTCTATCTTGTAGCCCTGTAGCAAAGTTAAATGTACTAAAGTTTATGAAATGCTTAAGTACAACTGAATGTCATATAAAGAAATAGAGAATAATACAGAAAAAAAGCCCCATAGAAAATAAGAGGAAATAGTCTAAATAATCTTGTTTTTTGGTTTCAAACCAACAATTAGTTTTTCTCTTCTTCTCTGCCTCTTTAGAAAACTTATTTTTTCTGGTAAAATGGCTTTTCACAAGAGTTTCTCTATCCTCCAGCTCTTCAATGCATTACTGGCATCATTTGCTGATTCAGAGAAATTTTATGCTATCCTTTATTTGGAGTTAACATCACAGTTAACAGTGCAACAAACATACATGATGACTTGTCAAGACATTAATCAAGGGCAACACAAATTTAGGTCTGACAATATTTGCTCACATTTAAATGTCCACGCATGTTCTGCTGATGAATCCAGTGTCTTGTTTGAGTCTTCCTGCAACTTCACAAAACTTGAGAAAATCGAATCTAGGTCTTGGAGGTATAAGAAGACAATATTAGAGCATATCCTATGCACTGCATATTGTGTGAGAAAAAGGAAAGAAATCAGATTCTGCTATCATAGAAGCAGCTGTCGTTTCTAATTAAAAGGGGTTTTGGCCAAGTGTCATCTTTTTTTTTTTTTGTTTGGTTTTGAAAAGAGAAACATCCCAGAGCTTTCAGCACACACAACTTGCCACTGATTTCAGTCTGCCTGCATTAATCTGTCCATGAAAATGGGAGATAGTGATGGGCAACAGTGAAAGGTGAACACCTGAAGTGCTGCTCAAACTGGCAAATCAGTTATGGGTGGAGGAACCACACAGAACAGTGACTGAATGTGTTCACCTCCACTCTGAATGTAACTCATGTAAAAGTAGGAGCTCATTTGTGCTGAGAGCTATGGAAGGCACCCAGTTAGATTTAAGAGCACTGGAGACCCTCCCCAGCCCAATGCTGAATTCTCTAAAAGCTCTCATCCCAGCAGGTTTTGCTCCACCAGAAGACCTTGTAACAAATCGTTAAAGATTTGTAAAATTTACTTACATTTATCATATAATTACTGTATTAAATTTTCAACAATATAAAATATTATCCTAACTATAACCAAATACATAAAATTATTCAAATATAGAAGAAATAATAAAAAATAAAATAATATTTGTAGTAGTGGAAGTGAGGATGAAGTACTCATTGCAAGAGCTATCTGGACATGATTTTCACTGTGGTTCCTTTTATTCCCCAGGATGTACTTACCCAGGTCAGATGATGTGTTTCTGGAAAATGTGTAATTAATAACAGGAGACTTATCTAGTATTTCCAAAAAATCAGACAGATTTTTCCCTGCAAATAGAAATGCTTACAAATATCAAGAAAGTCTTGTTTCCAATATAAATCATCACTCAGGGAAACTAGGGTAATATTGTTGGGTGGAATAATTTTAACTTTTACCTGTCTGCCCTGCCATCACACAGATGTAGATACAATCAGAGTCATTGCTCTGACGCACTGAAAAGCAAAAACCATAAAAAATATCATTGTTACCAGTTTTCCTTACATGGAATTATCTTAAACAGTTGAAAACACAAACAAAAAATGGCATGTGCCTATGGCAGCTGACCAAGTATGTTCCTTCTGATCTAATTTTTGACAAAAATCTCAAACTACCATCAAATCCAAATGTTTGTATCTTCAGGGAAAAAGTTTCTATCTAATTAAAATTCTAAATTACAAGCACTTTTTATGGAAAAAAATCTTCAGCTAAAATAGCCCATACTTATTCTCTGTGAATCAGAATTGCTCAAAATATCAGTATGTAATAATAATTCTCAAACCCACCAATCTTTAGGAATTATAAAACATTCAAACAACATAAAACATAGAAACAGATACATCTCTATATTACACACATTCACATTATATATGTATCTTGTTCCATGTGTTGCAAGAAAAATGCTGTTGAGTAAGAGCAATAGGCTTTTATCCACATTTTTATGGTTGTTTGCATGCAAGGAGTAAATGATAAGACAATTATAAATATTCAAAGGAAATGCAAACCTGAGAGAATAGAAGTGGATTTGAAAATTTCTGTGAGATAACTGGTGGAGTTTCCAATGATATCAACAAGTAGAGCTGTAAAATCTAGACAAAAAATAGAGAAAGTTTATTATTGAAAACTCATTCCCTATCATGTATGTCAAGTCAAAATTTACTCTTATATGTGATGATATTTTAGATATATGCTCATACAAGACAAAGCTTAAAATATTTTAAAGTTTAAAATATTTTCCTGGAGTGGACTGGAAGAAACCATGAGAATATTTTCAGAAGTATATTTCAGAGATGATATCCAAAATATGTGTGTCTAAAAGCAAACTTAAGTGGAATTTATCTGTTCAAGAGAACATTTTAAATCAACGCTGTACTTAGTCTGCTTAAATGCAGGAGATCTAAAGCCTGCAGGCTTTGCCTGTCTGCTGTGTAATTGCCTGTCTGCTGTGTAGGACCTTCCAATAGGAATTGGATTTTTTCCTCTGGGGTCTGCTTCAGACATCCTGATGATTCAGATGTCAGCCCAAGAAATGGCTGGTGGTGTTTTAATGGTACTTCCTAGCAGTAACAGGTCACTGTTCTCACTTAGGGAGTGCTGGACCTGAGTCCTGAATTTTTACTACTTTGGAGAAATGCTCCAATCCCCAAGAGATTCTGGATTTGCAGCACAAAGATTAAAGCTTCTCTGTTATTCTCCAAAGCAAACTGGGTAATTATCCATCAAGGCTTGTGGGATATGTGGGTCCAGAGAAAGCCATGAAAGCCACTGTGGCTTGTGCAGGGTCACATGTGTGGCATAGAGGGTTTGGAGTCTGGTCTGTAGCTGCTGATCTACTCTTGATGCCCTGCATTAACCAGCTGAAGAATCCAAACACAGATGCATCCTGAAATACTAAATTCTGTGAAATCAGGGGTGTGAATGAGGATTTCAGGTGAAGGGTTTGCCCAACAGTACTTTGTAGTCCATTCAACAGTTCTATGAAGATGCTAGTGCTTGTTTTTCCCTTCTCTTGGGCTCATTGAGGTGACTGGATGGAGGAGTGTGCTTCTTGTTGACGGAGTGTCAAAACTATCCTTTGTCCCCTTAAAAGGAAAGAAGCCCAGAAGTTTCTCTCCTCCATTAAGTGAAAAGACACCTCAGAGCACCCCGGAGACTTCACCTCAAACTTAAAAATAGCTAATTAGACAGAAGCCAAAAAGTCTTGCCTGGGCAATTAACTAGAAAAGGACATGAATAAAGAAACCAAGGGCTTTTGTGAAGTGTTTTACCAGGAGCAAGAACGTCTAGCACCTGGCTCAGATTTTCTGTTTGTTATTTTACCTTTTAATAAACCTTTTTGTTTCCAACACTGCAACAGAAGCCATCCTGCTGATTTTTATGCCTCCAAGGGTAGCTGAACTATCTAGGGTGTGTTATGGGCCTCTGAGAGCTTATTAGACCTGTCTCCAAGAAGTTACTATAACAACTGGAAGTTTCTCTGTTGGTGCAGAGAAGCCCTTGTTCACCTCAGGAGAGAAAAAGTGGCCAAGGTGAGGTACCACATATTGCTGGTTGTCTGTCCTGTGCTGCAATTTGTATTCCAAGGAGGAAAGGGAGGCTTTTGCCAGCCAAACCACACCAGTCACTTGACTCCATCCCAGGCTGGCTGCAGCCACCTGAGGCTGTGGATTAGAGCAGCCACTCCTTGTGAGCTATGGCTGTTGGCCTCAGTGTGGTGGTGGAAATCATAAGGATGAATTCTGCAGAATTCAGACTAAAGCTCTCAGCTCCAAAGGAAATAATTCAGCTTAAACACATGCAATTGCCAACCTCTTTTGTGTACCCACCTGTCAAGTCATTTGTCACATTATTCACACAGTAGCAGTGGTGCATAGGGAACTTGCCAGGGTCAATATTTTTTGCATTAGAGACTGGAGGGAGAGACAGAGAAATAAAATCAGTGTGTTGTGGCCCAGGCTGTGGGAGAGAAGCTGCTGCAGAGCTGAGCAAGGCCAACACTCACTGTTGTAAATGGTGACTGACACTTTGTGGAAGGCAAACGAGCTGTAAGAGGTGATGCTCAGCAAAGAGAAGAGTTTCTTGGTACCTGCAGAAACACAGGTCCATGCTATTAGTGCAGGGAATAAATAGTGAGAGCAGCATGTTTTGACTCTGCTCATTTAGTGTCTAAAGGATTCCCAAGGTGCCAGCGTGATACAGCTGCCTCACACCCAGTCCATTCTCATTTCCACTGAAGGAAGAATCATTTGCATTGCTTCTTCCTTTTTATTTTGTTTTTCTTTTAATTGAAATGTACACTGGATTAGAAAGTGCTTTTGAAAGGCGTCCCACAAGTAATTATATTGTGTCTATATATAAACCCATACTAATTTCCAAGTTCTCTGGGGTAGACAGCCATCTGCATGATAAATGCACAGAGGCAGCATGCTCCTGGAAAAAACTCTGGAGGCTGACAGCACACCTTTACAGCTTCTCCTGCCAGCACCTGTGGTGCCTTTTCTCCTGCTCTGCTGGGCTGCAGCTGTGACCTGCCAGCTGTGTCCCTTTACCTCTGAGTGCAGTGCTCAGCATCCCGTTCACCAGCTCTGTCAGGTTAATGGCAGCCAGGTCCAGGGACTTTGCAGGCAGCTCTGAAAGAAAAGGGGTAAAAGGGGTGCATGAAGGCACAAGGAAACAGCTGTGCAGCCACTGCTCATGTGTGCTAGAAATCTGCCTGAACAGGAAAACCAAAATGAGCAGATTATGCATGTTTGGGGCATACCAAAAAACACTGATGGGAAAGTAAAATTCCACCATGGAGATGAGCCTAGGAAATAGCAAGTACAGCAGCAGTAGAATGGTAAGCCAAAATTCATGTCTGCCAGCTGTGCCCTTGACCATGGCCTTGAGCAGCTGCAGGACCCTGCCAGCCCTGGCATGCTGGTGCCCTCCCCTGCAGGGCAATGGGTGTTTGCTGCCAACAGAGCAGCAGATCTCTCCATGCAGGTCACAAAAGGCAGAGGAAGTGCCTAGGAAAGGTTCCACCTTCCCCAAACCTGCATGAGAATATAGATTTTTGTTTTTCAGCTACATTGATGGCTATACTGCTTGCTACAACAGAAAAAAATTGCTGTAGCCAAATCACTCTTTTTATCTTAACCTGTTTTATTTCTGTTGTTGTTGCTTATTTGACTTTTCCCAAGTCTTTTCAAAGGTTTTTTTTTGCTTCCCTCCCACAGAGTCATGCAGGAGCAGAGCAGTGCAGTGTCTGTGTGAGGGAGGAAGGTGTGTGTGAGCATGACAGAGAGAGGAAGAACAGAGCAGGACAGAAAAAGAAGCACAGAAAGCTGAGATGAGAACAAAATTGAATTTGGGGAGAAATGCAATTTTCCAATGACATCAGTACTATTTATAACCAGCTTGAAGCACCCCAGGGCTGAAAGCAGCGCTTGTCCACAGCATAGAGGAGAGAAAAGGAAAAACAGAAGGGAATGAAGAGCTGGGAAGGAGAGAAAGGGAAAAGAGAAGAGCAGATTTTGGGAAGCACAGTTGTTAACATGGCCAGGCACTGGACTGGGTGGGCTGGGGCTCACAGACTCTGCAGGAGCAGGGTCCATCTGCACAGCACCTCCCACTCCCATTACCACCCTGACTTTGGGCTCCTGATGTGCTGCCTGTTACCTGCAGTAGCCAGCACTGCCAATTGTTTCTCTTTCTTGTTTTCTTTTCTTAGGCACGAAGCTGAAAAGTGAAGAAAGAGACTGAGAAACAGTCAAATTCCCTATTGAATTTGCCCCTCAATAATCAAAATAAAAATATTATAGTAAATATTTGTAGAGATCTTCACTAGGCTTGCACCCAGAATTTCTGCAAGGTAAAGAGTAAAATAAGGCCAAATCCAAATAAATCTTGCGTTCTCTGTGTATATTTGTTAATCAGAGCAGTCATGCAATTGAGGATTGTCCTCAAGGGCTGTGTTGCAGGAGGAATGGGCTGAAACTGGGCTCAGGAGATTGGACTGGGTTTCTGGGATCACTTGGTGACCAGCTGAGGTGTATAGCAGTAAATGAGAGACTGCAGGACAAGTTGAAGATATGTGTTGGAGATTTAGGTTTCCTATCCCACCAGAGGAGAGCTGAGTGCCTCCTAACAGTAATCCCAAAGGCTCTCCAAATGAGTCAGTGCTAGAAAATGCTAATCTGCCATGTTCCTATGAAGATTCAGCTTCTCAGCCCATCCAAGTTCCCCTTTATGTATGTTTATAAAGGAGAAATTCCCAGTAGGCAGTGTATAATCCAAGGTTTATAAATTGTGATGTTGTATCAATCAGCTGTATTAAGAACTCTCAGTTAGTCAGAGTTAAATCTAGATTGATGATCTAGGTGGTAGGAGCTCTTTTATAACCCTTCCCCCTCTTTCCTTTTAAACTTTTCTGATTCCAGATTCTCAGCATGGGATTTAGGAACAGGCATCCCCTGCTCTGCTCTGCTGAGTGACACCAGCCCTGCAGCTCCAGCCCTTCAGTGTTCCCTGCACAGCGGGAAAGAACCAAACCTGCCACAGATGTGGGAATAGGGCTGTAGGAGCAGCAGGGAGTACACTGGGGAATTCCCTGGGGAGCACCAGCCCTTTGTCCTTACCTGTGCTGAAAACCAGAAAGAGACACAGGAATCCCAGGCTCATCTTCGCTGCCACCTGCCAGCAGAGCCCCTGCATCATGGATGCTGACTTCCAGCAGGTCTGGCTGCTCTAGGAGAGAGAAATGCTCTTTTGGTGCTGGTAAAATTTTTAACATTGGGCAATTTTGTCCAGGCCTTGTCCCAGAATGATTTAACCACAGGAGAAATATTCAGTTTCTGTGATGCAGAGAAAGATTGGTGTTGGAAATGACAAAGGAGCAGAGACCCCACAATCAGTATTTCCTCTGTGCCTGTGGGTGCCTCTTGATTTTTGAGTCCTACCTAACTGGCTTTTCTGGGGAATTGGTGATGTTATCAACACAACCCTCTTCTCTGGCAGGATGAGCTGTGCCTAAAAGGCACCTGACACAACAACTGCCTAAAGCTGTTCTATTAAAAACAAGATAAAATTTGCTTATGTTTAGTTTCAGACAACAAATGTCAGCTGAAGTTCTCTTCCACAGAAATGTTGTTTTTCTGATCATTCCTGGTTTGGTATTTCTGAGTTACTATCACCAGGTTGTGTCCATACTGCCTTGCCTACCTGCTTGGTAAGGATTAACAGTGTTCTGCCTTTCAGACCATGAGCTGCTTTCCAGGTTTCAAAGATTTAATTAGCTGGCTAGGGAGGTGGGGAAAAAATGGTTTCTTTTCATATTTCCCCTCTTTTTGCAATATCAGAACATGCCAAATAACTCTGTAGTTGTCAGAAAATAAGAGATTAAATGAAAATGAAAAAAAAAGCCCAAAAATTTTTAATATCCTCTTGGAGCAGCTAATCTTACAAGTATGCGGAAAAACATTATCCTGAAGGTGATACTGTTTGATTAGAAAAATATTATCATCATATTTAAAATATTTTTCATCTTGAAGTCACTAGAGAATTGACACATTCAAAAAATGGCTTATTTGTATTTGGTGGCTCTAAAGAGACTCTTCCTTGGGATGGTGGAACAATTCTAAATATTTCTGTGTTGGAAATGTCTGTGTTTGCTGGTCTGATGAGACAAAGGTGTGTAAGTGCCAGCTCTGCTAATCCAAGCAAAGCTCTGAGAGCCTTCAAGCAGTCCATCCTACCTATCCAGCCCATCTGCCCAATCCTTTTTACTCAGACCCAAACCTGGACTCATCCACAGTTTCTGCACAGCATGTTCAGAAGAAAGGAACTGAGGCAGAAAGTGATGGCCAAATCCCATTCCCAGACTTCATTCTCCATCACCTTTCTATGGAGGAATTACGCATGGACAGAGTCCAGTATCCCATGGACAAGTCTAGAACTAAAAATCCTAATCCTGGCTTTTCTTGCAACAATATTTGGAATCTGGAACTGCTAGACTACAGACCATGAAAAAAAAATGTTGTTGTCATGAAAATCCCAGGGCCTGACTCCCTGGCAAGGCTATCCCTGCTTCCACCCTCTGGTGTTCTGAAGCTTCCTGGAACTGGTAACAGCTTTTTTTTTTTTTCAAATTTTTTTTTTTTTTTTAATGTATCTGTGGACTCTGTAATTAGGGGAGAGCAGTGTGTTAGCTCAATCCTGCTCCCAGGTTGACGTGGTGGAAGCAGTGGAGGTGTAGTCTGCATGGAGATTGGTATAAAACCAACCCACATCTCTGGATTCTGATAATTATTTTGTTGTCTTTGGTTCGCTTCAATGAAATAGAGAGGAGTTGGTGAGAGATGCTCCTCTGTGGAGCTGAGTGTGAGACAATGGTGCTTTGCAAAGCAGCAGGGAGGTGGCTGTTGGGGAGAGCAGGTTTGGGGAGGTGGAGATTTGGGCGATCATGTAAAGGGAGGTTTGTAACTGCATGTGATTTGGAGCAGGGGTCTGTGGTGGCTGGTGCATCTAGATAATCAAGTCTCCTATTAAAGGGGAACTATTGGGTTGTGTCTTTGAGGTGAGAAGTGGGGTGATTTGCTGCTTATAATAGAACTTCATGAATTTTGATTGTACTATGAGAAGTGTCACCTTAGCTCTGCAAAATCTGCACTAGGATGAGTTGTGCTTTGTGATGATGGTCCAGTGTTTATGGGCCACAGCCCGTCTGAGCTGTTCCATGCACACAGGAGTGACCAGGCTGCAGAGCCAGTGTTATGAGTAGAAAAGCTGTCTATTTTTTAAAAAGGTTGCAGAGTTCACAGGTTGGGCTGCCAGAGTGGAGTTCTAACTGTTTGTTATTATAATCACCTGTCGTTTACATTAACTACCTGTCGTTGATGGTTAAGAATTCCCCCTTTTGTCAAGTGACACCCTGCTGCTTCCTGGAGGATGACACCCAGATGGTGAACAGGAGGTGACCTCGGAGTTAGCCTGCAAGTGATCTCGGAATCAGCATGCAATGGGAGGGACCCCTCACCAAACCTAGCCAAAAACCCCTAAAACAATGAGCCAACACAAAATTGATGAATCAAAGTGATGTCTAGACGTGAGGAACAGAATCTAGTATCTGCTAAGACCCTTTTTACTCCTCACCCTAACCTCACAGGGTGTCATCTGGACAGAGGAGCTTGAATGTTGAACCAAAAAGTGGGACTCTTCTGATGCTCTCGTGAGGAGAGAAACCCCAGCTCTGCGCACAGATCTAGCAGACAAAGTTGCACTCTTCCTCCTCCTCCTTTACTCTGGTGTTCCTGGGGGCAGTGGAAGTGTGTGTGCAGACCCATTGGTTCTCCCCGCTTCAGCTGACCACTTTTATAAAGGTAGAAAGGAGAAAGGTCTCCTGCCCGTGTTTATTTCAGCTGGTGCTGGCCCTGTGCACACCAACCCAAGGGACACCAGCAGGAAACACAGACAGCAGAAGTGCTGCCACTGGGCTGTCCCTCAGGGGCAAGGCTGGCCAGCCTGAGGGGCTCTGCAGCCCTGACTGGTGAGTGACCCCACACCTCTGCCCTTCACGAGGATTTTGGCTACATGGTGAGCGAAAGACCCAGACCCGGGAGGTGGGAGAAGAGGGCATGCCCTGCCCCATTTTCAGTCTGTTCCTACAGATCAAGGCCAGTGTTCATCCACCATGAGGAAACTTGATTTCCAGGACCTGCTTTGAGGAATGTGGATTCTGCTGGGTCACCAGTGAATCACACTGGCACTGAAATCCTTGGGGAGAGCATTTCACAGACTGATGTGAAAACACAACTGTTTCACAAAGGTTCATAAGTAAAAGGGTAGATAGCAGATAATCTCCTATCAGAAATCTAACTTAGTGCTGATTTATTTAAACTGGCCAGAGTTGTTCATGGCAGCAGGACAAGGGAAAATCATTTGTCAGAGGACTTGGTGTAGCAAGTGATAGCAGGGTCTAGAGAGACCACATTCCTAAAAGAGAGAGAAGAGGCAAGAGGATTGACACATGAAGGGATCATCTATTTTAGGAGAGAGAGAAAAGCTGTAAAAATTCAAACAGAATAGAGCAAGACTAATTGTGCTTGGAAGCATTCCCCACACACTGGGTGAAGCTTTCTTGCTCACCTGAATTCTCAGTTCCCTGCTGTCCTCCCCACTGAGCTGCTCCTCTGTGCTAATCAACACACACAATTTTCTGCACACACAGTGCTGATTTCCAGCAGGAATTTAGAGAAAGGCATTACCTGGCCATATCACACTACAGACTCAGCCAAGCAAAACATCTAATGATAAGGACAACAGGCAAACATAACCTGGAAGGATGGATCACAGTAAGACACATCCTGTTCTACTTCTAGCAAAGAAATATTGAGTGTTGTTGCTACAAAAGGATGGAAAATCCTGCATTCATGAGAGTGCTTGTTTTGCATGAATGCCATTTTTAGCACTAGTGTGTTCCCTGATCAGCATAAAATGCTTAAAAAGAAATTGCAGATAAATCTTAATACTAGGGATATCACTCCAAAATGGACTACCCTTGCTCCTTATTGGGTAGAGACTTGATTTAAATTTGAAGCATTAGCTTTTGGTTGCTTCCCAAAATCTTTTTCCAGTATTAACGCTCTGACATTTATGCTATCCAACCAAATTTCAAAACCACGTGTGACAACTGTTCCTAGAACTGTTGCCTGAAATATCTTATCTCTCAGCAATGTAGATATTAGCAATATTAACTCTTGTAATACACGTCACATTTGCGTTACTCTGGTTATTCAATATCCAGTTTTTATTTATCAGGGACAAGCCTATATGACTTTGCCACTGTATCTCTCTTGAAGTGACTCCACTGTGATGACTGAAATACATGTCCAGGTTGCAAATACGAAACCCTCATTGTCCTCCAGACCAAAATCACCATTTCCATTCCAGACTATACTGGGATCCTCAGGTGCCTCACAGCCCCGAGCAGGCAGACAAATCCCATAAACTGACTCAGAGAAGGTTTTCCTTCCAAACATTTGCCTGATAAAGACTGAGGGTCAAGCCTTTGGTTACAAATTCTCCTTCAGCTCTACTGGTATAACAATCCTCCTCTGTTTATTTTAAGCTGAATGATATTAGTAGAATCTATTTTATTTAGAGCTGTTGATCCAGAGTTCCCTGAACTGCTGAATTGGAGATTTTAATCCAGTTCAAATTACTTTTATACACTCATGCAGACCTCTTATTAAATCCCTCTCTGTTACTCTGGGTTAACAGCAATCTTAAACCAATGTGTTTATTAGCTATGCTTCAGTAGAGCTCCTTTTAATGTGGCAGGTAACCATGAAGTTTAAATAGTTCCCATTTTTCCTGTACCAACGTACTGCACTCCAGTATCAAGCAGTTTCCTCACATCTTCACGCTTAACAGAGCAGAACAGGAATCAAGAGAACAAAGAAATAGAAGAGGAAAGTCCTTGAGTACAAATTTCCTTACCTTCATTCAGTTGCAACATCTAAAGGTCATGTCTCATTTTAAGCACACCATCATCCACCAAGTCTAAAGAAATATTTCAAGTTAATGTGAAAATATGCCCATGTTACAACTGCACGCTTCATTACGTTGATACAATTACTTTTTAAGTTCAGATTTATTTGTGTGAGAATGCAATATAATGCAATAAATATATATTTAGTAAAAAAATAATTTAATTTGCTACATTTCCACTGAGCATTAGTAGCACAAATGAAAAGGTTTCCTCCAAGTACAAGTAAAACCACCAATATCTGGAATAGTTAATATCAACTTACCTGATCTCTCATGACAAAAATTATTATCTTCAGAGCCTATACAACACTGGAAGTTATTGCCAGCTGTTAATAAACACTTTGTGAAAAACTTTGAGTAAACAGGCTTGATAATCTTTCCTTAAAATCCTGTGAAAATTGTTATCCTAATCTCTGAAGGACTAACTTTGTCAGCACACAAAGTGCCTGTTGAATCCTGCATGGAAAGGCTCTGTGGCAGGTCAGGTGGGGATTGGAAGCTCCTTTTGGCAGTAGAAATGAATTGTGGAGGATTTTTTTCCCCTTTTAAAGGAACAGCTCTGCTTACTGCAATTAGACCCATGGCACCTTTGATGGTGAGAGGTTGGCAAGGGTGAGCCCCTCTGGTAAAGCTTCAGCCATCCTTCAGGTCAGACAAGGAACATTGCCAAGAGGGCAGAGATGACACCTGAAATGTATCTTAAGTGTCAAACCTCAAAAGGAATAAAATGTGAGTTACAACAGGAAAAATTGCCTGGAATCATGGTTAGGTGGTGAGGAAGGAAGAGAGGTCTGGTCAGAGCAATGACACAAGGCAATTTCAGTGCTGCTGAGTGATGTTCAGTAGTATCCAAGGGAAGATCACTGCTGGAAACAGTCAGCAAAATTCTGCCACCATTTACTCCAGTGGGCTGGAAAGTATTCCTCTGAAATCAGTGAGTTTAGATGCAGCCTGGTTAAAAGCCAATCAACCACTCAAAATGTTGTAGTAATTAGTAAACTAAATCTAAGTGAGTTCACAGTCAGTTTATGAAACAAAAAGTGCTTTAGTGACCATTTTAAGTGTGTGATTGAGCTGTGTCTTTGTCTGTCTAACAATCCTGCCTTAACCAAGAACTTCAGATGCTGCAAGGCAACTGCAGCCACATTTAACAGAGCTGTAGATGGTCTGTAAGATGCCCACATGTCTGTGCACATGCATGCACAATTTTCCTTGTTTTCATTCACTCTGCTTTACACAAATAAAACATTATGTGGTGGGGTGTTGCTGCATCTAGTATTATTTAATTCTGTATTGAATTTACTGCTGTGAAAAAAGGAAAAATTTTGAGACTGAATGCTGCAGCTGGAGGAATATGGAAGCACCTTTTCTTTGAAAAGACTTACTTTTACTGACTTAATTACCAGTTGCTCAATAGCACATCAAGAAGGCTGGGATGAAAGTCCTCTCTGTAACAGCTGACAAAACCAGGTATAGCCAGGAAAATATGTGTGCTGGGATCAGTTCCAGCCGTTTGATGTTTGCCTGTGAGGATAATTAGACTTTCAGCAGGTTTTGCTTCATGCTGTGTTTTACCCTGGGACTCTGTAATTTTAACTTTCCTCAGCTGCTGAGCAATGCTCAGGTGACCTGGGAGGGGGCTTTTGTTCAGCCCCAGCTCTGACTCTTGGGGACAATGCTGTGTTCTCACTCAGAACATCCCTCTGGGCAAGCAGCTTTCTCAGGAGTATAGTCTTTACATGCCTCCTTTTTCCAGCATCCCTTTCTTTGTGTGGCAGCACTGTGTCCATAAACAGCATCCCAAAATCCAGAACAGGAAAAAAAGACATTTTTAGAGTCTCTTAGTAACACAGCATAGACACACAATTGATATAAATTACTTAAATGCATCCATTTGCTGAAGGTTGCACAGGGTAAGGCCCTGCTAATGCAATTTAAATAAACAGAAATCCAAGGAAATGCCTGGGATTTATCTGTAGGAGACAGTGTGGTGTGATGTTCTGGTAGGGAGGGCGAAAATGAAGTCTGGCTGCTGGAGCTCTATCTCTCTGTGGGCTGAGAGCACAGAGTGAAAGCAAAAAACTGTTTCTTCCTTCTGGCTTTTCCTTAGGCCTTTAGATGTGGTTAAAAGCACACATTTCTCTGTAGAAATTGCAATATGTGTAAGTGACTGCAAGAGCTGCTGCCATACATTCATTCCTGTGACCTCAGCCACTGACAAGAAGTGTCCCCTGCCACCTGCTCTGTCCTGGGGTGGCAGTGGCTCATTGTCCTGGTGTGCCCCTGGGGTGGCAGTGTCCTCAGATGTGGCACCTCAGCGTCCTCAGGTGAGGCCACCCTCCAGCCTGGTGGGGCCATGAACCAGCTCTGCCCAGAATGATGAGCTGTGGCACCTGGAGCACAGTAGCACCTAAAGCACCTCACAAACCTGCCTGATTCACCTGGTTAGAAAACACAAATCCAGCTATGCCCCTCTCTCACCCAATGCTGACGTGCAAGAGAGAACGAAATGCTGTTTGTAAATAGAGTGCAAAGAAGCAAACTTAACTCAAGTTTACTCCAGAGCACTGAAGTTTTGTTTTCAGTTACACTTTATTTTACTATGGCAAATGTTTCCATGAAAGCATCTTTGAGTGATTTTAAATAAGTTTTGTTTAGAAAAGTATCAATTGAGTAAATTTCATTTGTTCTGAAAAAACTGTTTGCACTTCAACACTGCTCTGTTAGCCCTCTACCATTAAAATTTTATAAGATATTTAGTTTATTAAGAAATGTACTAGTTCTAGAAATTTTTAATTTCTCATTTTACCAATATCCTTCTATTATATTTATTTTTGGTACAACTTTTATGAAGGACAACTCTCTAAATGTATCATTGTTTCTTTGTAAATTTTTTTTCAGAAGAATAAATTTCATCTCCTAAAAGAAAAATTATATAAAGAAACTCAGAATTACTACCTGTGGGAAAGATCTCTAAGATCATTGAGTCCAACCATTAACCCAGCACTGCCAAGTTCACCACAAAACCACACCCCAAGTGCCACATCTACACATTTTTTACAAACCTTTAGGGATGGTGATTCCCTGGGCACTTCCTGGACAGCCTGTTCCAGTGCTTGAAAACCCTTCAATTGTAAGAAATTGTCCTAATATCCAAGCTAAACCTCCCCTGGCACAACTGGAGGCCATTTCCTCTTCTCTTGTCACTTGTTCCCTGGGAGAAGAGACTGATCCCACCTGGCTGCAGCTCCTGTCAGGCAGCTGTGGAGACTGACAAGGTCTCTCCTGTTGTCCTGTTCTTCTAAATTCTTCTAAGCCTTCTGATGTTTACATTTTTGTAATGGAGTTTCTCATGCACTTTTCATGTAAATAATGATTGTTTTGCACTCCTTTCTGGAGGAGGAGAAAAATTGATGGACTGTTGGTTTGACCAGTGTGGCTGGAGAGGTGGCAATTTCATCCTCCAATCCATGGTCACTTTTGAAAGTCTTTTAATATTGGAGTTTGATAATAAACTATGCTCTTTTTACCTTGGACATTTCATCTTGTGCGTGTTGTTCATTTCGTGTCCTATTGTGACACTTCCTGAGCCTCCTCTCTCCAGGCTGAGCACCCCCAGCTCCCTCAGCTGCTCCTCGCACTTGTGCGCCAGACCCTTCCCCAGCTCTGTTGTTCTCTGGACACACTCCAGCCCCTCAATGCCCTTCCTGCAGTGAGGAGCCCAGAACTGAGCACAGGATTTGAGGTGTGGCCTCACCAGTGCCCACCACAGGGGGACAGTCCCTGCCCTGGTTCTGATGACCACAGTATTCATAACACAGGCCAGCTGCCATTGGCCTTCTTGCCCACCTGGGCACACTCTGGCTCCTGTTCAGCTGCTGCCAACCTGCATCCCAGGGCCTTTCAATGAGTATTGAATGTCACTGCATGACTGATAAGAACTATAGTATTATGAGATGCTCCGCCCAGGGGGAGGAGCCAAGCATTGCTACCCGAATATAATCCAGAGGTTTTGAGATACCAGCACGGCTTTCTCCACTGGATTCTCCAGAGGAACAGCAGCTGCCTCTTCTTCCACTGGATCTTTGGAGGAAGAATACATCCTTCTCTACAGATCCCACTTGCTCCAGCAGAACCACACCTGACACTCCAGGAGGGCTGCAGCCATAATTTCAATTGGACTGCCACCAACACCCTGACCCACAGGGTGTCAGGTTGGGTTCTGACTCTGTCAGGGTTGTTCTAGTGTACTGCATTTTTTATTTTATCCTTCAATTTTTCCTTCCCTATTAAAGAACTGTTATTTCCTGCTCCCATATTTTTGCCTGAGAGCCCCTTAATTTAAAATGTATAGCAATTCAAAGGGGTGGGAAGGGTTTACATTCTCCATTTCAGGGGAGGCTCCTGCCTTCCTTAGCAGACTCCTGTCTTTCCAAACCAAGACAACATGTATTTAGAACTGAAAATAGTTTCTGTCCTATCAATAACTTTTTCTTTAATTTTTATTACCTATGTACCAATTCCTAAGATTGGTACTTACCCCACAAAACTTCCTGAACAGAATGTGCATTAAACTCTACAAACTGTTTTCAGTAAGAGTGTTCTGTGTATTTACTAAATGTAGGAAACACTTTCTTTTGAAGTCTCTGATATTGTGAAGCTTTTTTTGAATTCAAGTACGCTCTTGACGGAGTAAAAGAAGAGAAAGCAAAAAAAAAAGGGACCATGGAGAACATGAAAATGTGTAGTGGTGAGAGGCATGGAGTCCTAGTGGTTTTCTTATCTGTGTGTGAGTTAGAATACATGAGATTTTTACACAATACTCTGCACTGCTCCTTGAGGGTTTCCAAAGAAGTTACTTTGTGATAAAGCACTTGGCATTTTTAAATATAGATCCTCATAAAGCCTTGATTAAACATGGAGAAATTTGAGCAATCCAGACCTTACTTAGAAAAATATTTAATGACTTAGCCAATGATTTTATTTCTGATAGGATGTGTCAGAGATGTAACTGACCCCACAAAATCTGCCAAAATATTCATAGCATATATTACACTTTTCCCCCATGATCTCTGTTCTGTAATCTGCACCTGACATAAAGAAGCAGGAGAAAAACTGTGGTGTTGTCCCAAACCCACTGGGCTGACAACATTATCTTAGAGAGCAATTTCTTTAAATATTGTCTAGATTCCCTGCTGCTCTCTGCCATGGGACTTGGCTTTCCTGATTCCATCCCTTCTCTGTGTTCCAAGAGGATGCTCTCTGTTCCAAGAGGATGCTCTGTGTTAGTCAAGCAATCATTTTACCCTGGCGAGTCTTAAAAAGCAAAGCATCCTACAAATAAACAGAAGGGTACACTGAGAAAATTCCACTCCTGAAGCTGTTTCTTGATTGACACTGTTTCAATTTTTACCCTTTCTAAACTGTTAACCCAAAGTCTTATTCTA